CTGTTACACATATTAATATTACTTTTTTCGTTTGATGAAATAGTGATTTTTTTATTTAAATAAAATTGTTTAGTATGTTTTTCCCTGTACTCATTAAGAAAAAAATATTTTAAATCCAGGTAGGGTATTTAAAATCCTTATATCCATCCGTCTTAAGTCTTTATATTGCAGTTGCAACTTTTGCTGTGTTTGTATTTTGCATTCTATTTAAGCCAAATGTCGCCTCGCCGCGTTGGCGTCAAACTACCGTAGTAACTTTCTGCTTTTTGGGTCAGCCGCCTCAGCACGCGCTTTGCATAGCGTCATCGCTCTTAACTTATGCAACTTATGCAGGGGCAGCATAAATCATAATTCCAGCGAGAGGGGGGCAAATAGACGTCTATGTATGGGCGCCTTGGCCTGGGCAATTACTCCCTGCCGCCCCCAAAATAATTTTTTTTTACACTTTTTAAGCCGCTTACAAGGCGGCCTGCAACAATAATTTTAAAACGGCGAAAACATAAATAAACAAGCCAGCAAAAAACATAAACATTAAACTGTGACTGCGACTTACTCTGCGACTGTTACTGCGTACGTGGCGTCTATAGGCGCAACGTGACTTTGGGACTGGCCAAAACCGAACTCTAAAAATAAAAGACTCTTAATATCTTCAAAAAGATCTTGGCAAAAATATATAAAACGTGAGCAGTCACTTAAATTGAGCGCTGCGAATTCGCTGCACATTTTGCATTTTGGAGTCAAATACCCTATAAACTTGTTAAATTATTATTCGTAAAAGACATAAGAAACGAGTTCAAATAAAAAAGCTCAGGGAATGACTAATTTAAAAACTTTTATAGCACACTTGAAATTCGTCTTTGGGGTATAATAAAATAATCATTAGTGATTTCAACTTTCTTATGAAAAAATAAATATTCATCAGACACTTAAAAAATAGCTATTTGAATCCTAAGAAATGAAAGGATGGAAATATGTGGTTAAACCTGTGTGATACCGTGCCATCATTAATTATCTCCCACCGACAGATTACCACAAGTGGCCTACTTCTTTTATATCAGCCATGATAAGAACTTGACTCAATTAATTAGCCACCACAGAATTGATGATCTTCTTTTGAACTCGATCTAAATGGGTATAAAAACCATTAAAAATGCCTAACGAATCACATGTTGAAATACTGTTGAAATCAATTAGATAACTTGATTTCGATTTGCAGCAATTTGTCTTGAGCTCAGAATTGATGTGTGTGAGTCATTACGGCTAGAATATATAAAAAAACAAGTTTAATCTTTAGAAGTGAATAATATTTATATCTATATTTTGTTATGAAAAATCTCCCATGACGCATGCTGTGACCTCATTTTTATTTTATTCAAATAATACAATTTGTATAAATTTTTTGTACAAGTACAGATCCGTTTGAATTTTCTGCCAGCTTCAATGCTTGCCTAATCCCACGAAAGCCAACTTCGCGTTCCATTTTTCGAAGATATAATTAATTTATTTTCAATATCAAGTCAATTTATCAGTTGACTTGACAAATACAATAACAATAACAAATTAGATTCGGCCAGCCCCTTGTATTTCTCTCTTGTATCTCTGAGATTCTCTCAGTTTCTCTCCATTTCTCAGGGGATATCACAGTTTTAGCCAACTGTTATACGGCCAAACTGATTTTCAAATGCCAAGCCACAATTAAACGAAACTAGTTTTGCTCGTTAGAGAGATATGGAGAGAGAGAGCCAGTTCGTCAGCTGTTTGCTTAGCCAACTAACTTGGCCAGCAAATGCAGTCAAGAGAGTAGTAGTTTTCGGTTCTCATATTCAGTCTGCCGGCGCACCGCGTTGTGTGCACTTCGCTCAATAGTTTTATCCGCCGATCGGTTGCGATTCGTTTGTGACTAAGGTGTGCAATCTACCCATAATCCCCTCCATATAAAGATAGCCCCTTCCTAACCAAATGCAATGATCCCGCATTTGAACAGCTGTGTGTGGGCGTAGTGTAGTGAAAACTGTGCCGGCAAAAAAGTGTAGAAAAATAAATAAAACTAAACAGCAATACCTATTTGCTTAATTCGTTGACGCCATGCAACTTTTTCATCACGAAAACTGAAACAGAAATTAGGTGTTTGAGCGATTACGTAATGCTTGAACTATTTACAGCGTTTTGCGAATTTTTTTTTCTCGCTTTTCCGGTCAATTATATTTTTGCGAATTTTTTTATTTCGCCTAAATGAGCAAATAATCTAGTGTATTTAGTGCTTTGACACAGTTTTAGGTGGCTATCACGCGGCCAATCGGCCACGTTTGAGTTGTTTTGTGGCCCAGATCTTTGGTCAGGTGCAAAGTGCATCACAACGAAAGACTTAGGCAACAAACTTTCGCCCACTGCTAACCGAAAAAATAAATAGCAGTTGGTAGAGCAATAAAAAAATATGCTGCTGCTGCATATAGCCATAAACACTTACATCACAGCAACCTGTTGCATGTCGCTTGCAGTGGCACACTTTTTCATAAAAGTAACCATAATAATAATCAAAACAACAACACAGCAACCAAGTTGCATTTAATTAATCACAAAATGAGCTTGGCTTTTCGAGCTTTTTTCTTAAAGTTTATGAATGAATGGATGGTTGGTCGAGTGAGTGAGTGAGTGAGCTAGTGAATGACTTATGAATAAGCCCACGTTATGAATGTGGGAGCCCCTGGGTCTGGTTGCCCTTGGTCCAACGGCTTCATCTGCAACTTTTGTCATCCCGCTCGCAGGTTCGGCAAACAACATAAATTATCAACTTGCTGCTGCTGCTGCTTCTGTGCCTTCTCAGTTGCTGCTCTGAACCATATAAAAATATGACTTATTAATAAAAACAGACAACAACAGCAACTTAATAAAGCCACAAACCAGCCGGCGGACAGGTCCTTCTGGCGCCTCGAAAAGCACTCCCTAGATCGCCTGCATCTCCCGGCTGCATCATAAATACTGATGTTTTGTTGGTTTTCCATTAAATGTGTTAAATATGCCAAGTGTAGACGACGCGTGTGGGTTTTTCGCTGCCCTGTTGCTTTTGCTGCATGAAATTAGCCGCACTTGTTGCAGCTGTTGCGGCATTGCTTGTTTTAGCAATTCAGGAATGCACATCGAGTGGTCGAATGAACGAATGAACGGGTAACCCAACTTCAGCGCCAAGTTTGTTTAGGCTGTTTATAGATAGCGAAAAAATATGTACCCATTTTAGAGTTGCACTCGGAATTTCCCTTCAGTCAAGTGCCTGTTTAGACAAGGCTCTTAACTCATCTTTAAATAGCTGTAATTAGCATACTAAGCATTCAAGGCAAACCAAATAGTTTTCACATTGCATTTACATTTCTATTTACCAACGAAAAGTTATCTTTATTATGCAGTTTTTTAGACAAGTGAATGATAATGGAAAACAGAAAAGTTCAATACTTGTTTCCCAGGTCATAAACTATTTTTAGAGATCATAAACTACCTGTAATTTATTTTACAATTTCTAGAGTTCAAAGTTTTAATTTTTTTTATTAATGAACACATCCCAATTTATGTAACAGATTTATGGCTTTCAACCTTGCCATTGCTCATACATCATTAATGATTTTTTGGGGCTATGTTCACATGATATTTTAAAATTTTATGTTCAGACAGTTATTTTTGCCAAACATTGACTTTACCATAAAGTTTTTAGTGCACTTGGAGCTTCGGCTCGAGTTATTTCCAAAATAAAAACTCCCGCAACTTGCTACCTGGCAAAAAAACTTCAGACTTGGCGGTCTAAAGATCTCATCCTTTTTTGTAGAGATCTTTTTTTTTGCCGTTGCCATTCCCAACGTGTGCATTTTTAATTATGCTTGTTAATTTTTGCTGTTTTTTTTTTAGTAACTCGTCTCTTTTTTGTGCTTTTAACCCATCTTAGTATGTGGCACACGTTTTGCGTTTATGTTTCTTCATACTCCATTTGCTGGATGAAATAATTGCGGGGCGTAGAAATTAATGTGCAAGCAGGGCGTTTCCAAAAGGTAATGTTGGTACAAAAAGTAAAAAAACAGGGTTACCGTAAGATGAGAGAACTCCTTCTTTCGTTCTTCCCATTACAAGCGGAAATTACTTCATTGCAATAAAGATTCCTGGTCGATAAGGAGCCCATTTCGGTGGTATAAGGCAAGGTCAGCTGTGTGCCACCAAAACTTTTTCAGCAATTTGTGGCGAGTTCGTTGCCTAAGTCTTTCGTTTTGAGGGAAAAGCTTAAATACCAAAGTTTAAGCTGGTTAATTAGCATAAGCAAGCCAGCCGAGCAGATCAAATGAGTCACTATATAGGGTCGGTTCAGCACTCCCACATACTGGTGTACCATTTAGTTCCGTGGCCAGCGAAAGTTCACGAAACTTTTGATAAAACAATGTATGAAATGGATTTAAAATGTAAATGTTTTTTAAGAAAAGAAACGCCCCCATGGGAAGTGTGTGTGTGAGTGTGTAGGGGTGTGGGGGTGTGGTGGGCGTGTAATGTGTGCCCGACACCAAAACAGTTAAATGTGGAAATACAAGAAATTCAAGTGAATATCAAGCGCAGAAATTACGTCAATCAAAAGTCAAAGCACAACTGGCAACTTGGAAGCCACAAATCGTATAGGTTATACCTATACATATTTTTTGTTGTATCGGTTTTTTTTTCATTCTGCAAAGGCGTCTTGGTTAAAAAATATAGTAAGAAAGAGAGAAAAAAATTATTGCCGAGCGGTCCAAGCCAAAAATGGACCAGCAGAGCGGCGACTTTTGCCGAGCAAAGTGTGGGCAGCAGCAGCAGCAGCAGCAGCAGCAAAGTTGCCTAACAGCCAGTCGCACTAGCACTAACACACAAAAATCCGGGCTCACACATACACTCTCTTGGCTTTTTAGACCAGGTAACTCTTGGCAATACAGGTAACCACTGGGGCTCGCGATCGGCGGCTCAAGCTCCGCACATTCAGTTCGTTTTCAGCGCGCGTGCGGTGCGGTTCTCTGCCAAGTGGGCTTCTCTTCCCTGTGTCTTTTAAGTGTGAAGTTTGGATAATCTAACAGCGGAGATCATTGCCTTATTTGAATAGGTGGTCGCATCCTAACATCCATCATCTAATTGTTGCAGTGAAAGTTGCCGGGCATTTTTCAGCAATTTTACCCCGTGAAAATTCCGAAAAACCAAACGCGCGCAAAGCAATCAAAAGTGTTCAAAGCAAAAAAGCGTTAAATATTGTTTAGTATAACAATACGTTTCAAAAAATTTATAAAAAATAACCGAGTGTCTGTGAGACGTCTTTTGCGCAAAGCCTAAGTGTGTGTGTGTGTCTTTCTGCGCTTTTGACGGCAAATCGCTTTTGGCAGCTGCTTTGGCAGCAGCCAAGTAAGAAACAAGGCTTTTTTCGCTGGCGTCGCTCTTCGTTGGCAGCTGTTGGCAGTATGAACTGATTTTGGCCGAAAGTTGATGAATAAAATGGTGAGCACACTTTTTTTTACTTCCACAAAGTGCAAATTTTAAGTGGTATATAAAACATTTTAAGTATAATACAAATTTAATGGAGTTTTAGGGGGGAGAAGACAAGTGCTAACTCACAAAAGGCAAAACCAAGTTTTGTAAAAAATAACTTAGCCAGAATAAATAAAACTACATAAATCAAATTAATATTCTGTTTTTTACATAGATCTTGCCATTATATAAATTGCTTTTTGCTAAGAAATATTAAATCTTTTGAAGACTGGAAAAAAAAAACTCTTCTTAACACATATGTTAATTAATTCTGTTTTAACTAAAAATGTAAATTTATCGAAGCATACCCCATTTTTCTTCACAAAACAGAAATTAAAATCCCTTGAAATTTTTTTAATAGCCCTGAAATCAGTGAGCATAAAAACCGTTGGCATACAAAATTTACATGACAAATTTACGTTTTTTTCCACCCAAGTGCAGACATAAGCTCAAGAAAACAAACTGTAAATGTGGCAAAAAAGCTAAAATAATAATAACAAACAGTGCCGACATAAAGAAACGTTCACTTTCGTTGGTGTAAAAATCCCAGGCCAAAGTCATTGTGAGATTTGATGAGTTGGAAGACGAACATGATGAATACGCAGATGGAAACGGGTCCAAAGACGCCTTGTCACTGACTCTATGGTCAGGGCCTCTTCGCTAATGCTGTTTATTTTCTCTGCATCTCATTTTGGGAAATAACGAAACCGAAACGCAAATAGAAAATATGACAAATAAATGCTTCAAATACTCGCTTGACACACTTTTCACTTAAAGCGCAAAGAAAGAGTTTGTCAAGCAATCACAAGGGTTTCAAAACAAAAGGCTGAGGTTGAAAAAAACACCTTGTTTAATTTTTTTTCGAGGCGATTTGGCAAGAGGATTTGGCGAAATTTGTGGGTTTATTGATGGAGAGATGGGAGATCTCTGACATTATCTTTTTTCCTTTTTTTGGTCAAATGCAAAACACAAGTGAAGCTACCGGCGCCGTCTCATTTGTCAGCCAGTTTCGGTTTGAGCTAGCTGGCAGTCATTTGTAAGCCATTGTCTTTCATCTCGACGTGGGTTGTGTGGTACCTTGGTAGGAGTTGGAGTTGTAGTTTTTCTCCCCAGTTCGTGGCTCATCTTATACCATCTCACCGACTGACTGACTGACTATTTTTGTTTAGCTGTTTATGCTGATGCGTTTGCCGCTTGTTTGGTTGTCTGCGCGGCAAAAGGTGCAAAACTTTCACTTTATGTATTATTGTTTTGCGTGCGAGCTGCTGCGTTTGTCTGCCGGGAGAAATTACAATAATAATGCCTATAAATTATGAGCCAAAGCGCTTGACTCAGTCTGCGTGGGCGAAAGAAATTGCCGCAATTAAATGAGTCAAGGGACCCAGCGATGAAAAAATGAAGTGAATGCTTTACTTTGCGATTCTTCTGCAAAGATAAATGGTGTAAGATATAAAGCGACATATCTTTCCCCTATTTTTTGCACAAGAGAAATTTCAATTATTTTTATTGCGAAATCCATGAGCCAAATCAAAAGACTTAAGACACAAGCTTGATATTTTTTCATTTCTCAAAATTCATGAGCCAAATCAAAAGACTTGAGTCACGAACTAGATATTATTTTTGATTTCAAAAAATGCATTTAGCAGGCCAACAGAACTCTCTGTTTTAGTTTTACCAATTGAAGACTTAAATTAAAAATGCAAATTTCAGCAACCAAATCAAAAGATTTAGGAACCGAACTTGTTTCCGTGGATAATAAGATTGGCAAACTATTATTTCTAAAAGCTGTCACTGATTTTTGCACAGCGAAAACAAATGACTGCAGACACAAGCTTGACGTTAGCGAATGAAACCTTTATTAAATGCAAATAAAACCCAAGTTTTATTATTGCCTAATGACCGGTGAAACTCGTGGGAAAGAGATTTAGCTACTTTCGTTGGCGAAATCGGTAGATTGATTCCATAGATCTTGCGGGTAATTCGTAAGTCATCAGCCAGCAGACAGATTTATTATGGGCAAATTCCAAAGACTGGTCGCGATTTGGATGCTCTTTTGGAGCTCAATAAAAGACTGTGACTCAGTTGCCTCGTCGACTAGTTTGCAGCACCCCACACAGTCTGTTGAACCGCCGCTCAAGGTCTTTTCCCAGCCACCAACGGCGAACCAAAGCCGTGCTTCAAAGCCACAAAATTCTAATTAATTTCTCGCTTGCTCGCAAATCTTTTTGCATTGATCTCTTCTGACTGCCGCAAATCTACAGAATCCAAAAAGAGCCATACTGTGTGGGCACAGCATACAAATGAAGACGAAACCGAGACCAAAGCGGAGCAACCTGTGCCAGTCTAACATCATTAGTTTCGGCCTTTGGAGGCTTTATATTTATTTATTTATTTTGTGGGCGATCGACCCACGCTGCCATGACACAATCGATCCGCCAAGGCCCGACCATGTGGTCCACGGATCTCGAAAGCCATGCACTTGTTATGCGTTTTCGATTTCCATTCCGTGATGGGCAACCCACTTTCACCAGAACACGGTTTCGTTTTCATTGCCTTTTACGAACGTACTTCTTTGGGATGACCCAAAAAAAAACCAAATGGAAGCATCTCTGGCCGAAAAAAATGCTGAAAGGCCCAAAAGGAAATAAGAAATACTTTTGAGAAATAAAGCGAAAGTAAAACAACGACCAGTTTTTGTGTTTTTTTGTGGCTGCAGGGCTGCTGCAACTGAAAAAGATCGGTTCGAACTCCGATTCGCAGAAACTCAAAATGATGTCATGCTGCGAAGTGGAGTTGCCAAAAAAAACCCAACCAGACTTTTGGTTTTTTTTTTGCTTCTTAGCCTTTGGTGGACCCAAATTTCGGCTGTATCTGTATCAATAAAATGGCTTCGTCTCGTGCAGCAAATGCAAAAGTAACCGGACGACTTGGGCCCAGCCCAGTTAAGTTCACATTCAGTTCAACTTTCAGCTTCCACGCCAACACCACTCTGTTGCACAGTTGTTTTTCATTTTTTTTTTGTATTTTGTAGTTTGTCGTCGTGGTTTATGCCGCTCAAGACCCTGATCGCTGCATAAAACTAGCTGTAATGCCGTTTATTTATTTCATTTTAAAAATCCCTGTCAACGGCACAGCTTCGGTTGCAGTTGTAGTTGCCTTATTGCCTTAGCCTCGAGTTAAGCCTTTAAATTTATGACTCATATTAGTTGCAGCCACCGACGACGACGACGAAATCGCGAAGAAAAAAACCAACACGGAAACTTTTTAAACTGCAATTTGCAACAATTTTTGCAGCAACTGTAAAGCGGACTTAGCCAAAAAAAAACAGGCATCAACAAGGCGAGGTTGCTGGGGCGCAGCGAAGTTTTGTTACACTTACCAAAAACAGAATTGAAATGCTGTGAATTTAGATACAAAATCTGGTTTGGTAAAATAAATTTACTACGATTAAAATACATCAGTAATATAACAAATAAGACGATCTAAGAAGCTGATACTTCCTGATATCTCTCAGCACTAAAGTATTTTATGGTACCACCCACCCACATTTCTCTAGATAAATAAAGTAAAGTAACTAAAATGTATATAAATCATTATTAGAACATTATCTTTAAGAATACGATGCTGTAAGAAGCTAATACTTCCTTTCATTTGGTACCACTCAAATACTTTATCATACCACCCACCAGCATTCCTCTAACTAAATGAAGATACAATTTTATGAGGCCATTAAAAACGAGTGTTACCTCATCAGCCAGGCCAAAAATGGTAGGAAATAATTTCAAAGACTTTAGAAAGTCTAAAATTTAAACTAACCCGCTGGACTTCTCAAATTTCCAATATATTCCTTCACTCATTAGCCAACTCCACAGAGGCCAAATAGAGTATTCAGAACGCCTGGATGCAAATAGCAAAGGCATCGGTTCGATCTCAAGTTGTGCGGCCAATTAACGGAATGTCTGCTCCGATATCGCTACCGTAATTTAACTTTCAAATGCAGCCCGCAAGAGCAGTTAAAACGGAAAACCCGTTGCAGGCCGGTAACAACTCCTATATAATCGTATATATGGCCATATCAGGGCACTTTAAGCTGCCAGGAGTGGGAGCTAGTCTGTAGTCACTAGTCTTTTGTTTCTTGTATGTTTTTTTTAAGTTTTCGCTTAGTGACAGCTGGGCTATCGGGCTGGCTAATAACTTCATTTAAATTAATCTGGTAACAGGAGGCAGCAGGAGCAAGGAGTGCAACAATTTAAAATTCAATTACCGCCGCATTTGAAGTTGCCACCGCAGGCGAGCACAAGGCCATAAACATTTCCCTGTCGCCACCAGAAGAAGAAAAAAGTAAATGTGGTGGAGGCTATGGAGGTGACTCTGTGCCGCACATTGATGCATCCTGTCATTGTCATAGTGCCAGCTCATATCCTGTGGATCGCCACCGGCAGTAAATTGCACAAACCGCACATGCTAATCAACATGGGCAACCGCAATTATTAAATTACATTTGCGTGGCCTAATCGAATTGGCGAGGGTTCCCCCGAGAGTCTATATCTTGTGTATATATATATATATAGAGTGTTGCCTGGCAAATGATATGATATGGTCAACAGTAGTTGCCACTGCTAATTTGGCTTGACAGTCGCTTCTCGTCCGCTAAAAGGGGCGGTTCTATCGGTATTTGATTCGTCTCCGGAACGAGGAGGCTGGATGATTGTCGGTGTGCAGAGGAAGCATTAACCAAGTGTGGACGATTTTATCGCGCCAAGGTGACGATCGAGAAGTTCAGGAAGAATCACATATCTAGCCTAATTTACTGGCTTGTTGGGTACCCTAGAATTTGCTATACTTTTAATAAAGAATATTAAATTATACACATTTTCATGCCATTCCCTATCATATTCATTTTGATATGTATTTTCAAAGGATGAAAAATTGAAATGTGCGATATCAAATCTCCATGCTACATAACGCAA